TATATAAACTGAACCAATTTTTGCACCTCAAAACGGCAAAAAAAACCAAAAAAAAAAGGGGGGAAAAATTCCAAACAAAATTTCAATTATTTAAGCAAAGCATTTAGTTAGTAGAGTGGACTGGTCCGGATGGTTGGATGGCTGGATCTTTGGATCGTTGGATGGTGTCGGTACTGATGCTGGTGCTGGACGACGAGACGATGCTGGTTCATGTGTGTGTGTGTGTGTGTGTGTGTGTGTGCTAGTTATATAAAGATAAAGTAAGAAATAAAACATCGCAAACTATAACAAACAACAGGATGCAGTCAGCCAGCGGCGAGGCAGCCAACTGGTCTCTCTCTCCTGTGCCTCTGCCACATGCTCTCGTGGATGTGGATGTGGCTGTGGCTGTGGCTGTGGATTGGCTTGAAATCTTTACTTTTTGGAGCATTGGGAAAGCACTTGCTGATGGGGCTGCCTAGGCCGTTTGGGGGCTGCTGTTGGCATACGTAGAAAAATTGTTTTCGATACAGTTTTCGACATTCATTCATTCAACAGACCAACGACCGAGGCTGCTGATGCTGCTGATGACGATGGCAATTGCGGCAACTTTTGCCTGGCTGCCTGCCTGCCTGGCTCTTGGCTAGCTGCTAGTTTGTTGGTTTCGTTTGGAAAATTGAAACAATTTCCGATGTCACTCTCACTTTTTATTTCACTTGACGACGACGACGACGACCGTACCGTCCCGTCCAGAGCCAGAGCCAGAGCTACAGAGCCAGGCCAGTCCCGTCCCGTCCCGTCCAGAGGTACAGAGCCAGCCAATCTAGACAACCAGATATGTAACGACGATGGACGACAACCACAACGCTCCAAAGACGTGATTTGGAGATGTGTTTGCTTTGCTCTCTGTTGCAACTGTCGCTGCTGCTGCTACACTTGTTGTGTCCAGTGAAGGAAAAAGTGGTACAGATTGCACTCCAACTCCAACTGCAGCAGCAACAGCAGCAGCCCCATCATCATCATTATCGTCGTCATCATCAGCCGACTACTCAAACGCATCCACAACAGCCACAACATCTGTGGCTGCTGCAGAAGTTGCTCTCGTTGATGTGTTGCACACAGTTTTCCTCCAACAACTTGGCCATCTTTTACTGCTACTCCTTCTGGCCATCATTTACGCTTGACTCTAGGAGGCATATATAACGGAGGACTCTCGTATCTTCAACTGCAGAAGGGGCTTGTATCGGCTGAGAAGTCTTCCGCAAACTATTGATCATCCATCGAGTTATAGCCCCAAAGCTAGTCACTGACCTTTTATTCTTTTCCTTTGATTTATCTTACTGGGATTAACCAAAAGAGATTCCATCTAAAAACTATCAGACCCTTTGTTCAAGTTAATGATATATAGAGATATCCTTCCTAAAGATTAGTTCAATATCATGACATGAGTGGGAATTCCAGAGATTATCATGGATTAAGTGGGTCAATCAATATCTTTGAGCTGTTCTCAATTGATTTTTCTGATATCTGTGAACATCCTGAAGTGATGATCTCTCATTGAGCGAGGGCTCTCTTTAAAGTTGGTTTATGTAGGATATAAAAAGCAATGTTTATGGCGATAGAATTCGCAGAACCTGCAAAAAAAGAATTTCTCATAAATAATAATATTTCCGCATATCGAAAATCTTTTCAAGATGATTGATCTAATACTCATAACAGCTATAGCTATTCTACTCTCCCGAGTAGTAATGATTTCAGATTGTTCCGATTGAACAAAATAAGTGTTCGTCTAGCACTCCTTGCTTTTTCCCCCACTAATTTTTCCATTAAAGGCAATTCCTTATTGCTGATCTTGAGTGAATGATCTTGCGAATGGGATCTTTCTAACGCATTCGGCACAGACTTGAGCTTGAGATTGAGATTGACTGCTGTGCGTGCTTATCTATCTCTTTCTATCTTGCCCCTCTCTTTCACTCACATCTTTCTCTCTCTTTCTTCATGCCTATCTCCCTCTCTGTTTGTTTGTTGTGACGATTTTGGTATCAGGTTGCTGCTGCTGCGGCTGCAGCGACTATTGCCTCGTTAGAGAGTCTTGTCTTCGTCTGTGGGTGTGAGTGTGTGTGTCTGTGTTTGTGCGTATGTTTGTATTAAGGCGATCCTGCCAGCAAACTTTTGTCGCCGCGGCGTTGCAAGTTGCTTTTGCTTTTGCTGCTTGCCACTGATGTAACGAGGTTTAATTTTCCATTTCAGTGAGCGGCTTGCTTTGGAGATTTTTACTCTCGTTTTTCATTGTGTGTAGCCGTCGCCGTCACCGTCGCCGTAGCCGGCTTTGGTTTGATTTTCTTTTTAGTCTCAGTCTTAGTTTTAGCTTTAGTTTTAGTTGTGGTTTAGTCGCGCTTGATTATGCTGCCGCCTGCCGCCTGCTGCCTGCTGCCTGCGACGACACTCAAGCGCGACCGAAGCAGATGATTATCGTGCTTATGATGATAATTATGCAGCTGCATTTAATAATAATCATGATGCTGTGGCTGATGCTGATGCCTGCTCAATAATGATGGGTTGTTTGGTGGATCATTTAAAAACATGACAAAATTCGCGAATCGCTATCCTCTATAACTATAACTATGCTTCAGTTCCAGTTCCACTTCCAGTTGCAGTTGCAGTTGCAGTCTCTTCCCCCGAAACTCTCTGCAACATTGTCTCTTCAGCACTGGACCTGGACATTTTCCAATCTGGAGCGCCGTCGACGCTGTTATGTGTCGCTTTTCCGTCTGTCTGTCTGCCTGACTGCGTTTTTCGCGGTTTTACAACTTTTGATTTCACTTTTCTTTGCAACATGCGACGCGACGACTCTCTGGCTTTGGCCATGTTACTGGATTTGTATCTGTATCTGTATCTGTACCTTCACCGTCCGTTTCTTGAACTGTTTGCTTCATTGCTCCCGTTGTCCGTCCGTCTGTCTGTCGCTTCGCTTAAACTTTGTTACTCTTTAATTGGTTTTTTTCTTTCTTGTTTTTGTTTTTGTTCGGGTTCGGGTCTTCTTTCTTTTCGCAGGCATCCGTTTTGGAGACTCTGATGATCATGATGATCATGACGATTGCTGGTGGCACCACTGGTGACGATCGTGCTGCGCTGCTGCTGCTGCTGCTGATGATGATGCAGTGGCGTCCAGCTTAAGAGCCTGGCTATAATTGTCAACCGCTTTGGCACGTTTGCAACAAATTATAAAACACATTGGTGGCAAGGGGCTCGAATCGGGGATCGGGGATCGCGGCTCGGGGATCGCGGTTCGGAGTGTTTGTGAAATTTTTACTTATTTTTGACAAGCAAAAGTGATATGATTGAGGTTGACGGTTGATGTTTCAGGTTGATTCACTCTTACTCTCTTTTCGAGGATGATTTACTAAATGATCTCATTAGGAACAACAATTTTCAGTGAGTAAATAAGTAAAAAATTAAACATTTGTATTGCAGTTTATTCAAATATTTATCCATTTGGATAGATCCATTTCAAGCACTTAAAAGTGATCTGAAAAATACCAAAAATGTAAATAATTCTTCCCCACTTCCAAAACGATATCAGATCTCCCACCATTGGTAGATCACTTGATTGTTCTTTAAGTGCTGCGATCTCTCTCTCAAAACGTTCTCAAGCTCCAATTAGAAGTGCTGCAACAATAATTTCGACTCCATAATAACAAGAGACCACAAATCAAAGGCAGCAAATGCGGCTAATTAACTTTTTGGCAACAATTCAGCAACAGTGCAACAACAAGAACACCAACAAAAGGCAATTTGTTGCAGCCAGACGATCGCTAAATGCTGCAACAACCACGACGACAGCAACAGCGACAGCAACCCACGAAAATGTCTCATGAAAAATTCTGTTCTAGATAGCAGAACAGAGCCCCATAGATCAACGCGCCCACCTCAAATGCAGTTTCACTAAGTATGAGGTGGTTGCTGTTGCCTGCTCGCTGTTGCTGCCACAGAGTTGGCAAATATTCGAGATGTTGTGTGTGTCTCTCGGTTCACATGAGCTGTTGGCTGTTGATGATGGGTTCTGCTGGGGATTCGGAATGGGGAATGGGGAATGGGGGGGATGGCCTGGCGTGCCATCTGCCAAGTGTAAGAGTTTGTTCTTGCAGCGAACGACCTACGCAGAAAATCGGTCTTGGAGTTGCACGCACCTCTAAGCGCTGGCGATGCCGGAGGCGACCTCCACTCGAGGTGCTACTGTACCCCCCTAGCACTCTACTCCTCCCTCTATTTTCTGCAGCCTGTGTGTGTGTGTTTAGATGTTTGTGTGTTTGTCTTACATAATCGTCACTCTAGATACCGTTTTCGTATTTCTTGTACATTTTTCAAGTACTTTTCCACCCTAAAACGACAGACAATAGAACAATTGTTTAAACATTTGTGTCTGAGTGTGTCTCTGCCGCTCTGTCTATCTATCCACCGTTCAGACGCTTTTGGCATTGCGCCAAAAGAACCAACACACCAAAAAAAAGAAAAAAAGAATAACCCATAATATTTTGGATGAAAATGATGTTCTTTGGGTGCGGGAAAGAACAGTTGCTGCTACTATTCTTAGAAGGTACTTTTTTGAAGACAGACAGATAGGTAAAGAAGGTAAAGGTATGACGTACATGGGTATTACCCCTCAGACATATAGACCAATTCCCATTCGATCTGGGAACAGCTGCGGAAACGGGAACTCTGTGACGCACCCGAGAACTTCTTTCTGGTAGTGTGGAAAATTTTATATATTTAAAAAAAAATGTATACCTTCATTCCACACAAGATGCTTCAACATGTATCCCACTTCCTATATTCTTTCAGGTATATAATTCCTGTTTACAACTATTTGAAGACACGAAGGCAGCAGCAGTTCTAAGGAGCAACCCGGAATAATCAGTCTATCAATCCATTAATCATTAATATTGAATCAAGAGCAGCCAGAGCATAGGAGGAGCGTGCCACAGGAAAGAAGCGAAGGTTGCAGTTAGCTAGCAACAGTTATGAGAGAGAAAGACCACTCACCAAGAAAGATGCTTCCTAGCCCGAAACAGGGCTGCGTTTACCCTGCCTTAGGATTAGTACCCACATCGTATATATCACACGTACCTTACGACCTGGCAGCCGCCTCGACGATATCCTCCTCCTCCTCCGCCTCCTCGGCGACGACGACCACCACAACGGCGGCGGCCCGGCAGCAGCATCTGCATCCGCAGCAGCTCCATCATGGCGGCAAGGCCAAGAGGAGGAGCAGCTATGACCAGCCGCTGGATCTGCGGCTGGCCCACAAGCGGAAGACGGATCTGGATCCGTCCATGGACGGAGGTCCCATGGAGGACGAGAACAGCAACCTAATCATGTTCGCCAGCGAACTGGCCGCCGCCCAGCAGAAGGAGAAGGAGCTGAACAACAACCACATAGCCGCCTCCCTGGCGGATCTCGGCTTTGACATGAGCCGCAAGATGCTGCGAGCCCTACGGGAGGGGGGAGCGGGCAGCGGGGCAGCCGGGCCTGCCACACCCCTGGGTGCCGTGCCTCCGCAGTGCACGGTGCCCGCAGTGCATCCCACGCTCCTCGAGGCCATGACCAAGACGCTGCCACTGCAGTACAGGAATGTCTTTGCTGGTGTGCTACCGGGAAAGGCCAGCACTGCGGCTGTCTCCACGAGCCCCACGGGCGGCGAGTTCAACTTCCGTCATCCGCTGAAGAAATGCGAGCTGACATGGCCCCCACCCACAGAGCAATTGCAACTGGAACTGCCAGGAGGTGGAGGTATGGGGAATCCCAGCGGCGGAAAGACGGCTCCACATCCCCAGCTGCAGGACTACCAGACGCGCCAGCATTCGCGGAAGGCCAAGGCAAGAGCTCCGGCGTCCACAGGTGGCCAGACTGGCCCCGGAGCCGCTTCCCTGCCGCAGCGGAACAAGGATCGGTACACGTGCAAGTTCTGCGGTAAGGTGTTCCCCCGATCGGCGAACCTCACGCGCCACCTGCGCACTCACACGGGCGAGCAGCCGTACAAATGCAAATACTGCGAACGTTCCTTCAGCATCTCCTCGAACCTGCAGCGCCACGTGCGGAATATCCACAACAAGGAGCGACCCTTCAAGTGCGAGATCTGCGAGCGCTGCTTCGGCCAGCAGACGAATCTTGACCGGCACCTGAAGAAGCACGAATCGGACGCGGTGTCGCTGAGTGCCTTGAGCGGGGTGAGCGAACGGATGCACTGCATCCGACGCTTCTGCGAGAACCCCAGCGAGGAGTCCTACTTTGAGGAGATCCGCACCTTCATGGGGAAGGTCACCCAGCAGCAGCAACAGCAACAGCAACAGCATCACCAGCAGCAGCAGAACCATCATCAGTCAGTGACCACGCCCCGTAGCTCGGCCTCCAGCTCGTGCTCCTCCTCGCATACGCCCACATCCTCGCGCCACACACCCACGCAGTCGGACACATCGGAGGCCCTGGCCCAAGAGCTGCGGCGCCTGCAGGCGGAACGTATCAAAGTCGGAGAAGACAGCAATGATGCAGCATCAGGAGCAGCGAGAACTGCTTCCCCATCGGCCGAGGAGGAAGACTCCAAGCCCATCCTCGAGCTGAAGAAGACCCTGACTTCAAAGCTATTTCCCACTACCACACCGAAAGTTACGCCAGCTGCTGCTGCTGTCACCGTGAAGGAGGAGCAGCAGCCCTAATGACCAGCCACCAACAAGAAGAATTTTAACACGTTTTCCTACTATATAATCGAAGAAGAAGAGAGAGAAACTGCAACAACTACACACAAACGAAACGAAAGAAGATCCCTAAACTATGTCTAAAGCATGTTCGTCTTTAAAGTCTAGCTGTAAATATATACCTAATATCTATTAATGTTCTATTTGTGTAAATGTAATTGTACAAAACAAAACAAGAATTGGCAAATCCATATATGTATCTATATCTACAGTATATATATATATATAGTATATGTATAATCTATGATTAGATATGTCTTAAGCATTGGAATTTTTTGTGTATATATACAAAACGACACGACACGATAGAAATGTATGGAAAAACAGGACAAGAAAGAAACAAACGCAATCACTGTTTGAAATAAAAAGTTACAAGTTTTTGAAATTTACTAACAATACGATTTTTGATGGATGTTTTTTTGGTTTAACCATATCAAAGATGTGCCCTACTTAAGAATAAAATCTTAAATTCAAATTTAAAAAAGCGTTAAACACACTGGTGCTATCTGTTGGTGGTGTTTAGTTCAGTTCTCTGTGTCGGCGTGTTTTTTAACTATTTTATTTTACATGTAATATACATTTAGAAGCCATGGATTTTGCCACCACGTCTAGCTCACACACCTCGCAATTTGTATACTTTCCATAGTATTTTCTAGTATTTTCCAGTATATTTTATACGCGTTATGGACTCACCCTCTTGACCAATGCACCAATGTAGAAACCGTGTAGAAATGCCACTTAGAGCCAATACAAAAAATTCGTCAGTATATTTACGGTATACTTTGAATGTTGTGACTTGGTTCGGTATATTTCTGAAGACCGTACATGCCTTAAAACCAGGTGAATAGGCCAATCAAGTAGGAAATTGATTCATCATTCGTATAAAATTATGTGGGCATGGCTAAATCTTCCATATAGCTGATATTCGGAAGATCAAAATTGAGGGAATCGTCGTGTTGAATCGGTAATGGCCCGGTTGACAACAATTAAATCCTTGTCGCTCACATTCAAAAAAGTTAGATTTTGCGCGCACCACTCGGTATATTTTGAAAATGTGACCGTATATTTTGGTATTTATTTGAACCGGGTAGAATCTGTAATAACCGGTTGACAACAATGAGTCTCATTCCATACACAATGTTGCGCATTCCATACACACTGTTGCGGCAACATTTACTTGAAAACCGTATTTTTGTCAAAATAAAATACATAAAGGTTATTAAGTAAGTAATCTTGTAGAAAATGTATTCATCTATTCATCTAAGCTAAGTGTGCAAAGCTGAAAACTCTATATAGCTTGTATTCGACGGGAGATATTTTTGGCAATACCCAATTCGCAGCAATGAGTCCCATTCCCCACACCAGCATGTTGCTAAATCATAAGAATTTCTGCACGCTATATCTCGGCTAAGCAGCGGCCGATCTGGGCGTGTCATGTCTTTTCGTGATCGGGAGAGTCCTGCCAGTCGACTGCAATCGGAAAAAAGGACATCTATTTTTTCACGATTTTCGCAAAATATCATGATGGTTACATCATTAAATTTGCCAAAATCGGCCTCATTTCCGTAGTCGAGATTTTGATGGCGTTGGACAGTGTGGATTCTCACGATTCTGGGAGAGTAGGTCCTGCACCGATCTGGCCCTAATTTGCTGAGATATAGCCTTCTGAAGATCTGCAGTTGCAAATCTTTAGAATACTGTTTTTTTCTGCACGCTATATCTCGGCTAAACAGCGGCCGATCTGGGCGTGTCATGTCTTTTCGTGATCGGGAGAGTCCTGCCAGTCGACTGCAATCGGAAAAAAGGACATCTATTTTTTCACGATTTTCGCAAAAAATCATGATGGTTAGTTACATCATTAAATTTGCCAAAAATCGGCCTCATTTCCGTAGTCGAGATTTTGATGGCGTTGGACAGTGTGGATCCTCACGATTCTGGGAGAGTAGGTCCTGCTGCGATCTGGCCCTATTTTTCTGAGATATAGCCTTCTGAAGATCTGGATTTGCAAATCTTTAGAATACTGGTTTTTTCTGCACGCTATATCTCGGCTAAACAGCGGCCGATCTGGGCGTGTCATGTCTTTTCGTGATCGGGAGAGTTCTGCCAGTCGACTGCAATCGGAAAAAAGGACATCTATTTTTTCACGATTTTCGCAAAAAATCATGATGGTTACATCATTAAATTTGCCAAAAATCGGCCTCATTTCTGTAGTCAAGATTTTGATGGCGTTGGACAGTGTGGATCCTCACGATTCTGGGAGAGTAGGTCCTGCACCGATCTGGCCCTAATTTGCTGAGATATAGCCTTCTGAAGATCTGCAGTTGCAAATCTTTAGAATACTGGTTTTTTCTGCACGCTATATCTCGGATAAACAGCGGCCGATCTGGGCGTGTCATGTCTTTTCGTGATCGGGAGAGTCCCGCCAGTCGACTGCAATCGGAAAAAAGGACATCTATTTTTTCACGATTTTCGCAAAAAATCATGATGGTTACATCATTAAATTTGCCAAAAATCGGCCTCATTTCTGTAGTCGAGATTTTGATGGCGTTGGACAGTGTGGATCCTCACGATTCTGGGAGAGTAGGTCCTGCACCGATCTGGCCCTAATTTGCTGAGATATAGCCTTCTGAAGATCTGGATTTGCAAATCTTTAGAATACTGGTTTTTTCTGCACGCTATATCTCGGCTAAACAGCGGCCGATCTGGGCGTGTCATGTCTTATCGTGATCGGGAGAGTCCTGCCAGTCGACTGCAATCGGAAAAAGGACATCTATTTTTTCACGATTTTCGCAAAAAATCATGATGGTTACATCATTAAATTTGCCAAAAATCGGCCTCATTTCTGTAGTCGAGATTTTGATGGCGTTGGACAGTGTGGATCCTCACGATTCTGGGAGAGTAGGTCCTGCACCGATCTGGCCCTAATTTGCTGAGATATAGCTTTCTGAAGATCTGCAGTTGCAAATCTTTAGAATACTGGTTTTTTCTGCACGCTATATCTCGGCTAAACAGCGGCCGATCTGGGCGTGTCATGTCTTTTCGTGATCGGGAGAGTCCTGCCAGTCGACTGCAATCGGAAAAAAGGACATCTATTTTTTCACGATTTTCGCAAAAAATCATGATGGTTACATCATTAAATTTGCCAAAAATCGGCCTCATTTCTGTAGTCGAGATTTTGATGGCGTTGGACAGTGTGGATCCTCACGATTCTGGGAGAGTAGGTCCTGCACCGATCTGGCCCTAATTTGCTGAGATATAGCCTTCTGAAGATCTGCAGTTGCAAATCTTTAGAATACTGGTTTTTTCTGCACGCTATATCTCGGCTAAACAGCGGCCGATCTGGGCGTGTCATGTCTTTTCGTGATCGGGAGAGTCCTGCCAGTCGACTGCAATCGGAAAAAAGGACATCTATTCTTTCACGATTTTCGCAAAACATCATGATGGTTACATCATTAAATTTGCCAAAAATCGGCCTCATTTCCGTAGTCGAGATTTTGGTGGCGTTGGACAGTGTGGATCCTCACGATTCTGGGAGAGTAGGACCTGCTGCGATCTGGCCCTATTTTTCTGAGATATAGCCTTCTGAAGATCTGGATTTGCAAATCTTTAGAATACTGGTTTTTTCTGCACGCTATATCTCGGCTAAACAGCGGCCGATCTGGGCGTGTCATGTCTTATCGTGATCGGGAGAGTCCTGCCAGTCGACTGCAATCGGAAAAAAGGACATCTATTTTTTCACGATTTTCGCAAAAAATCATGATGGTTACATCATTAAATTTGCCAAAAATCGGCCTCATTTCCGTAGTCGAGATTTTGGTGGCGTTGGACAGTGTGGATCCTCACGATTCTGGGAGAGTAGGACCTGCTGCGATCTGGCCCTATTTTTCTGAGATATAGCCTTCTGAAGATCTGGATTTGCAAATCTTTAGAATACTGGTTTTTTCTGCACGCTATATCTCGGCTAAACAGCGGCCGATCTGGGCGTGTCATGTCTTTTCGTGATCGGGAGAGTCCTGCCAGTCGACTGCAATCGGAAAAAAGGACATCTATTCTTTCACGATTTTCGCAAAACATGATGGTTACATCATTAAATTTGTCAAAAATCGGCCTCATTTCCGTAGTAGAGATTTTGGTGGCGTTGGACAGTGTGGATCCTCACGATTCTGGGAGAGTAGGACCTGCTGCGATCTGGCCCTATTTTTCTGAGATATAGCCTTCTGAAGATCTGGATTTGCAAATCTTTAGAATACTGGTTTTTTCTGCACGCTATATCTCGGCTAAACAGCGGCCGATCTGGGCGTGACATGTCTTATCGTGATCGGGAGAGTCCTGCCAGTCGACTGCAATCGGAAAAAAGGACATCTATTTTTTCACGATTTTCGCAAAATATCATGATGGTTATCATCATTAAATTTGCCAAAAATCGGCCTCATTTCCGTAGTCGAGATTTTGATGGCGTTGGACAGTGTGGATTCTCACGATTCTGGGAGAGTAGGTCCTGCACCGATCTGGCCCTAATTTGCTGAGATATAGCCTTCTGAAGATCTGCAGTTGCAAATCTTTAGAATACTGTTTTTTTCTGCACGCTATATCTCGGCTAAACAGCGGCCGATCTGGGCGTGTCATGTCTTTTCCTGATCGGGAGAGTCCCGCCAGTCGACTGCAATCGGAAAAAAGGACATCTATTTTTTCACGATTTTCGCAAAATATCATGATGGTTACATCATTAAATTTGCCAAAATCGGCCTCATTTCCGTAGTCGAGATTTTGATGGCGTTGGACAGTGTGGATTCTCACGATTCTGGGAGAGTAGGTCCTGCACCGATCTGGCCCTAATTTGCTGAGATATAGCCTTCTGAAGATCTGCAGTTGCAAATCTTTAGAATACTGTTTTTTTCTGCACGCTATATCTCGGCTAAACAGCGGCCGATCTGGGCGTGTCATGTCTTTTCGTGATCGGGAGAGTCCTGCCAGTCGACTGCAATCGGAAAAAAGGACATCTATTCTTTCACGATTTTCGCAAAACATCATGATGGTTACATCATTAAATTTGCCAAAAATCGGCCTCATTTCTGTAGTCGAGATTTTGATGGCGTTGGACAGTGTGGATCCTCACGATTCTGGGAGAGTAGGTCCTGCGCCGATCTGGCCCTAATTTGCTGAGATATAGCCTTCTGAAGATCTGCAGTTGCAAATCTTTAGAATACTGGTTTTTTCTGCACGCTATATCTCGGCTAAACAGCGGCCGATCTGGGCGTGTCATGTCTTTTCCTGATCGGGAGAGTCCCGCCAGTCGACTGCAATCGGAAAAAAGGACATCTATTTTTTCACGATTTTCGCAAAATATCATGATGGTTACATCATTAAATTTGCCAAAAATCGGCCTCATTTCCGTAGTCGAGATTTTGATGGCGTTGGACAGTGTGGATTCTCACGATTCTGGGAGAGTAGGTCCTGCACCGATCTGGCCCTAATTTGCTGAGATATAGCCTTCTGAAGATCTGCAGTTGCAAATCTTTAGAATACTGTTTTTTTCTGCACGCTATATCTCGGCTAAACAGCGGCCGATCTGGGCGTGTCATGTCTTTTCGTGATCGGGAGAGTCCTGCCAGTCGACTGCAATCGGAAAAAAGGACATCTATTTTTTCACGATTTTCGCAAAATATCATGATGGTTACATCATTAAATTTGCCAAAAATCGGCCTCATTTCCGTAGTCGAGATTTTGATGGCGTTGGACAGTGTGGATCCTCACGATTCTGGGAGAGTAGGACCTGCTGCGATCTGGCCCTATTTTTCTGAGATATAGCCTTCTGAAGATCTGGATTTGCAAATCTTTAGAATACTGGTTTTTTCTGCACGCTATATCTCGGCTAAACAGCGGCCGATCTGGGCGTGTCATGTCTTTTCGTGATCGGGAGAGTCCTGCCAGTCGACTGCAATCGGAAAAAAGGACATCTATTCTTTCACGATTTTCGCAAAACATCATGATGGTTACATCATTAAATTTGCCAAAAATCGGCCTCATTTCTGTAGTCGAGATTTTGATGGCGTTGGACAGTGTGGATCCTCACGATTCTGGGAGAGTAGGTCCTGCGCCGATCTGGCCCTAATTTGCTGAGATATAGCCTTCTGAAGATCTGCAGTTGCAAATCTTTAGAATACTGGTTTTTTCTGCACGCTATATCTCGGCTAAACAGCGGCCGATCTGGGCGTGTCATGTCTTTTCGTGATCGGGAGAGTCCTGCCAGTCGACTGCAATCGGAAAAAAGGACATCTATTTTTTCACGATTTTCGCAAAAAATCATGATGGTTACATCATTAAATTTGTCAAAAATCGGCCTCATTTCCGTAGTAGAGATTTTGATGGCGTTGGACAGTGTGGATGCTCACAATTCTGGGAGAGTAGGTCCTGCACCGATCTGGCCCTATTTTTCTGAGATATAGCCTTCCGAAGAATTGCATATCAATAAAATAATGTTACTTTATTTTATTCTTCCTTTCCTTTTAGCAGGTCGGCCCCTCTAGTAGCCAGGAATTCCTTGAGTCTCACGCTGCTTTCTTCCGCCGTAGCTCCACGTCCTCTCGCGAGGTCGGAGAGATGACTCCTGGCTGGACTGTGGCAGCCACTGGCTATCCTTTTGCGAGCCATAGCCATAATGCCATTGCTGTGTCGCTGACTTGACAATGTGGCGTCCCGTATGCTGCATCAGGGACCAGTGATCGACGGCGGAATTGATGGTTCACGCCCACGGGAATCAAACGCTGGGGTTCAGCTTCAAGACGCGTAAGTGATTCAGTATATAATATTTGACATATCTTAAAATACATATATTTTCCTCCACAGGGGACTTAAGTACCCCCGCCAGACGGAGTCCTATCCAATCATTATCGAAGCATATTCGCGACAGACCGAGTCCTATCCCAGCCAGACAGAATCGTCTCATAGCAGGACAGAAACGCACCCCTCGCAAAATCCGTACCCAGCAGCCACCATGATCCTTCGTTCTGGCCATCGAAACAAGGACTTTGACTATGGCAACCATTGGAGGGACTACGCGGGCTACTAGATAGATTTCGTTAGTGTTAGGTTTAAGGATATACGCGTCCATATATTTAGAAAATCGATACAATTGTTTTCCTATTGTTTATATATTTATACTAAGCTAAGTTATGATGAATAAAACTATTGAAAAATCATCCTTGCTGTTTTCTGTATCGGGGAAACTATACCGATTACCAAAAGGCGTTGCACACCCAGATCGTTTCACAACCAGAGGAGAAAATTAGATATTTTTAATGTCTGAAAATGTCCTTGATCCTTAATAAGGACTCATCAAATCAGGGACATTTTTTCGATCACAGGAAGCCTTCGCACGCCCAGATCTGCACACGAATAGCGGAGAAACCTAAATACATATGTATGGTTGGGGTTGGTCCTTACTGAAGGATCAAGGAAATTGTTCAGCCACCAATGAGGGAGAAAACAAGATATATATGTCTGAAGAAAATATCCTTGATCCTTGGTCCTTGATAAGGACTTCATTTGATCAAGGATGTTCTTCCGAACACATTAAGTCTACGTTCGTCCCAATCGGGCCACAAATAGCCTAGAAAACTAAATATGGATGGTGGGGGCTGTTAGGGTCCTTTCCGAAGGATCAGGGATATTTTTCTGACCACGGGGGGCCATGGCATGTCCCGATCGGGCCAAAAATAAGGGAGAAAACAATATCTATATTTCTAGAGATGATATTCTTGATCCTTGGTCCTTGATAAGGACTCCATCAAATCAGGGTAATTTTTCCGAAGACAAGAAGCCGTCGCATGTCCCGATCGGGCCTCGAATAACGGAAAAAACAAAACTTCTAACTGGCTTTAAAAATGTAGTTCAAGAAATCACCGATAGCGGCGCCACCGTACAAAAAAAAACTCGCGTCAAATGGCCAAAATCTGGATGGGATACCAGGCGAACAGAAATCAGCAGTAAGCAACTGTAGCGAGTGAAAAAAAATTGGTGCATACTTTTAGGGGCCCAAAATCAGCGACCTTCTGCTGATTTCTGTTCGCCTGGTATCCCATCCAGTTTTTGGCCATTTGATGCGAGGTTTTTTGTTTTGTACGGTGGCGCCCCTATCGGTGATTTCTTGAACTACAATTTGAAAGCCAGTTAGAAGTTTTGTTTTTTCCGTTATTCGAGGCCCGATCGGGACATGCGACGGCTTCTTGTCTTCGGAAAAATTACCCTGATTTGATGGAGTCCTTATCAAGGACCAAGGATCAAGAATATCATCTCTAGAAATATAGATATTGTTTTCTCCCTTATTTTTGGCCCGATCGGGACATGCCATGGCCCCCCGTGATCAGAAAAATATCCTTGATCCTTCGGAAAGGACTCTAACAGCCCCCACCATCAATATTTAGTTTTCTAGGCTATTTGTGGCCCGATTGGGACGAACGTAGACTTAATGTGTTCGGAAGAACATCCTTGATCAAATGAAGTCCTTATCAAGGACCAAGGATCAAGGATATTTTCTTCAGACATATATATCTTGTTTTCTCCCTCATTGGTGGCTGAACAATTTCCTTGATCCTTCAGTAAGGACCAACCCCAACCATACATATGTATTTAGGTTTCTCCGCTATTCGTGTGCAGATCTGGGCGTGCGAAGGCTTCCTGTGATCGAAAAAATGTCCCTGATTTGATGAGTCCTTATTAAGGATCAAGGACATTTTCAGACATTAAAAATATCTAATTTTCTCCTCTGGTTGTGAAACGATCTGGGTGTGCAACGCCTTTTGGTAATCGGTATAGTTTCCCCGATACAGAAAACAGCAAGGATGATTTTTCAATAGTTTTATTCATCATAACTTAGCTTAGTATAAATATATAAACAATAGGAAAACAATTGTATCGATTTTCTAAATATATGGACGCGTATATCCTTAAACCTAACACTAACGAAATCTATCTAGTAGCCCGCGTAGTCCCTCCAATGGTTGCCATAGTCAAAGTCCTTGTTTCGATGGCCAGAACGAAGGATCATGGTGGCTGCTGGGTACGGATTTTGCGAGGGGTGCGTTTCTGTCCTGCTATGAGACGATTCTGTCTGGCTGGGATAGGACTCGGTCTGTCGCGAATATGCTTCGATAATGATTGGATAGGACTCCGTCTGGCGGGGGTACTTAAGTCCCCTGTGGAGGAAAATATATGTATTTTAAGATATGTCAAATATTATATACTGAATCACTTACGCGTCTTGAAGCTGAACCCCAGCGTTTGATTCCCGTGGGCGTGAACCATCAATTCCGCCGTCGATCACTGGTCCCTGATGCAGCATACGGGACGCCACATTGTCAAGTCAGCGACACAGCAATGGCATTATGGCTATGGCTCGCAAAAGGATAGCCAGTGGCTGCCACAGTCCAGCCAGGAGTCATCTCTCCGACCTCGCGAGAGGACGTGGAGCTACGGCGGAAGAAAGCAGCGTGAGACTCAAGGAATTCCTGGCTACTAGAGGGGCCGACCTGCTAAAAGGAAAGGAAGAATAAAATAAAGTAACATTATTTTATTGATATGCAATTCTTCGGAAGGCTATATCTCAGAAAAATAGGGCCAGATCGGTGCAGGACCTACTCTCCCAGAATTGTGAGCATCCACACTGTCCAACGCCATCAAAATCTCTACTACGGAAATGAGGCCGATTTTTGACAAATTTAATGATGTAACCATCATGATTTTTTGCGAAAATCGTGAAAAAATAGATGTCCTTTTTTCCGATTGCAGTCGACTGGCAGGACTCTCCCGATCACGAAAAGACATGACACGCCCAGATCGGCCGCTGTTTAGCCGAGATATAGCGTGCTGAAAAAACCAGTATTCTAAAGATTTGCAAATCCAAGGTTTAAGCCTCGGGCCGCCTATCCGGGGAAATAGATAATGAAATTCGCTCTCAGAAGAAATAAAACAGTTTGTAATCTATACTATGATCTGGGGCTGGGGATGGCTGGGAGACACTGGGATCTAATCCAGAAAGTTCGTTGTTCAACTCAGTTGTTTGCCTGTTTAAATGGAGGGGGACTCAATGGGTTAAGTTCGGTTTTTTCATCGGTATATCTCGATAAGCCCATTTTTGAACGAATAAATTTACAAAGATAAGATATGGCAACGGAACACCAGCTGACAAAGATTGCGGATATAGCTGATCTGCGGTCACTACAGGGACTATATCTGAAAGATTGGCCGAAGCACTGCGTGGGCTACTTCTGGCTGGACAACTATTTGAGATGGTTGCAAGATGATCCAGAAATCAGGCACTTGACCTTCTACACGCTGGACAATGATTGGGCGACCGATGGACTATTTCTACTCGTGGTAGGAAATAGCTGAGGGAAACCTTTGCATGTGCTTAGTCCAGTTTTTGGACAACTTTCAGCATCGCTATCAACTGTTCTTCTGTAACCTGAGTAGACGGAGACCGCAGCTGAAACTGGCTCTGAGTCTGCTGGACTGGTCTGGCGGCTACAAAGTGAGTGCCATTCACGAAGAGCATCATCTGGTGTACAGGGAGCTGCTGGCAGAACTTCAACTAGGAATGGATCGAGAGAAAAACACCATTATGTATCGACTATGCTGTCAGAAGGCCAAGGAGCTGGAAGTCGAGTGTCCCTCGGGCTACTACTTGGACAAAGTGAGGCTGGAGCATGCAGAACTTGTCAATGATCTGTGGTCCGCTCGTCATCCGGGCAGTCTGTATCTCATTCAACTGCTGATTTCAAAAAATACAAACATAGGTTTATACGAAAGGGAAACCGGGATGCTGTGTGCCTGGTGCTTGAGGTAGGAATTGGAATAATAGATTACACTAGATTACATCATTAATTCATTCTCAATAACGCAGACTGCAAAGCGGCTTCCTGGGAGCCCTGGAGGTGCGTAAATCCCATCAGCGTCGCGGTCTGGGTGTGATTGTAGCTGCTGCCATATCCCAATCAATAGCAAAGGACCTGCAGCAGGATGTGACGGCTCTAGTTAATTTAAGCAATTCAGCTGCCTGCAGGCTGTTCGAGAAGCTACAGTTTACGTTGGTGCAGGGCGAGCACTACTACTGGAGCATGAGCCTACCCAAAACGGGCGGCCAGATAGACTGGCCCAACAATGAATAAATAGAGATGGAGATAGCACATCCATACAACAGTAATGATCTATGATAAAGCTGATAAAGACCAGACCTAGACATCTATAAAATTTCACCTGTCTCTGAGTGCACCGAAAAGTAAGCCAAAAGGTTAGATAACAGTCTCTATATAAAGCCCGAAGGCCTATACATTTTTTGGATAGTCGGGAAAATGGTGTCCCTCCAGAAGGCGGGCCTCCAGGACCTGGAGCACCTGCAGAAACTTTACGCATGCGACCTCTCCAAGTATTGTACAGAGTTCCAGTGTCTGGACAGTTTCATTGGTCTCTATACGACTCGGTTGCATCTCAAGAATGTGGAAGTTTTCACCCTGCCGGACCAAGAACTTGGGCTGTTTGTGATTGTGGTAAACTCCCGACAAACTTTGGAAAATTCTTCGTTTTTGTATATGCTCATGTGCACTTACCATTTGCCAGGATCGCTATCAGATCTTCGTCGGTTGTTTGGATACTGAGAACTCGGAGCAACTGTTGGAGCAGGCCCTACACCAGCTGGACTGGTGGGGAGGCATGCAATGTTCCTCCATACGCAGCAGATATGGTGCGGCTGTCGCCCGAGTCGTAAAAAGCAAAGTGCCGCCATTGAAGTTCGATCTGGAAAATAATTTGTACTTTCTTCCAAAGGAAGAGGCTTTGGAGTTGGACGTGGAGTGAGCAACTACCTAATGGTTGGTCAGGCCACACCACAGAATTTACCTTAGATCTTACCTTTTCAGAGTTCCCTGTGGGTTCTATTTGAAAGCATTGTCGCAGCAGGACGCTCACGTGATAGACAGCTCCTGGGAATGGAGTCATTCGGGTTCGTTCTTTTTTATTGAACGTCAAATTCTCACGAGCATCTGCGTGGGCCTGTACCAGGAAGATAACCAAGAGCTGGTTGCTTGGTGTATAAGGTAAATTGTACAAAACCATCCTAAACGATAAAGAATACGAAGATGTCATTATTTTACAGAGCACAAGATGGATTTCTGGCTGCCCTCCAGGTCAAAGATTCGCACCAACGTCGCGGCTTTGGGGCTGTGGTGGTGAAAGAGTATTCCAGACGAGTTGCCCTGCTGGATTATGATGTTATAGCCGAAGTTTATCCGGGAAACAAGGCTTCTTCAGGCTTGTTTCGCAAATTGGGCTTCAAGGTCATCGATCAGTGCCGTTGGCTGGCGACAGTGCCTTCCCAAGGCGACTTCACCTGGCCAGATGGAGAATGATAATAATTATTGATAAGAACTGCAATTAGAATATTATAAGATTACAATACAACATCTGTTCTTGGCAACTATATGTAGTACTGCTGTGTGGGAACTAAATAAACGATTAACTTAAGAGAAAACTGGTTGATAAAGAGAGGCGGATGATAGCATATACATTTAAGAGAGGCCTGCTAAGAGGTACAAACACCCCATAATCGGTATATTTTATACTCATTTTCGTTTGGCTTGTTGCTGCGAGAGGTTGTGTGCTGTGCTCCAACGAAATGAGTTATAAACTAAAAGTTATTGGATTGTTAGAGCTGGAGGCGTTTCAAAAGCTCTACAAACAAAACTGGCCCAAATACTGTCCCGAATACTATTGTCTCGATAATTTTATAGAATTTCTGAAGGCGGATCCACAAATCAAGAACTTAAAACTCTTTACTTTAGAGGGAGAGCAGGCCAGATATGATGCGCTCTTTGTTGTTGTGGTCTGTAATGAGATACTCTTAAATTACATATAACATTTCTAAGAAGTACTCTTTAGGATCGCTATCAGATTTTTGTGGGAAGTATAAACAACACAAATGGACTTACGCGGCAGGCCCTCGATTTACTGGATTGGTCCTTTGGCTTCAAGTGCAGTTCCATACCCTCCAGACACATCGAAGCGTTGGATAATGTTGTTCGGTCAAAAGAATTGAATTTGGAGTTCCGTGATGCCACTGATTTGTTTTACATGAAGGCAGAGGATGCCCTGATGCTAAAGGTTGAGTAAGTGAATGAAATAAAGTTCGTTGGTCGACGTTATAAGTTATATATTCATTCAGGCCTCCGTCAGGTTTCATTTTTAAATCATTGAGTGAGGCAGATGCTCCGTTGATCAATGAGGAATGGCCCAACCATCACTTGGGTTCTCTGTACTTCATCCAAAGACAAATTCGAATGTGCGTGAATGCTGGTCTATATACAGAGGAAACCCAGGAATTGGTGGCCTGGTGCATCAGGTGAATGATGGTTAACAGATTACAAGTCGAAGCCATCTTATTATTATGTAAACCTCTAAGGTTACAGGGCGGCTATTTAGGCGCCCTGCAGGTGAAAGACTGCCACAAGCGACGCGGCTTTGGGAGCCTCGTAACCAGGGAGATTTCACATCGCTTAGCCACCCAGGGACACGATGTGATGGCCCTCGTAGGTCCCTCCAACAAGCCATCCGCTGGGATGTTCAGCAAGCTGGGCTTTCGGATCATCGACCAATGCGTCTGGCTCAGAACGAAGCCCACTACTGGAGAGTTTACATGGCCCGATGGCGAGTAGTTACACTTGATTACTATAGATTTATAATAAAATATTACACATATTACATACATGAATAGTAAAATATTACAACTATCTTGTATACGCATACAACTTTGGTATAAAAAAATACTCAAAGCCAAGCGGCTTTATATTCTATCTGACTAGACACGACTTCTATGCCGCCAATTGGCTGAGTAAACGCTGACAGCGTTCCATTTGAGCAGGACTCTGCTGCACACTGGAATCCTCCAGCATCAGAGTCAGCAGCTTTCGCAAGCACTCGAGATCGTATTGCACATGGTAATCGCTCATTTTATAGGTATCAAAAAGTAAAAATTTGGTGGTCGTTGAATTGTCTACGAGTGCGGCCAATCGACGTGCGGATATAAACTCTAGAAGTTCTATAAAATCGAGGTAGTTGATGCCGAAGCTGGCCCGCAGCATGGTCTGGCAGTGGGCCTCAAAGTTATCCATTTGCTGGCAATCGGAGATCTCCTTCCGTACGGCCTTCAGGTTGTTCAGGAGGTTACGCCAGACCATCAGTATATTGCAGGCATTGAACCAGTTGTGATTGGTGGTACCAGCCGCTGGGAACAAAGACGGCCTCATTGGCTGTCTGATTGATGGTAAAGTAGTGCACCTTATGCTCTTCCAGCAACTGTTCGTTAATTCTGAAGGGAAGATTTCCAAGGCGGTCGCTTAGCTTGAGTTCTTGGCCGGGCGGCATAATCAACCACTTCTTGTGACCAACAATGTTGGTGGACCAGCTGAACGAACCAAAGACATCCGAATGATAGGAGGTCCTAAAAACAAAAGCGAACGAAAAGTTAATTATTTGTACATATGTACTATAAGTAATATTTGTAGCTACCAAGAGTCCTTGGGTCCCATGTAAACGAAACGATAATCGTCTCGCTTCTGTTCGAGCAACTGCTCGTTCAGCCAGTCGGAGGCAAAGTACTTAGGCACCTTGTAGAAATCATAGCCGGGCATTTGGGCAGCCAGATGCCAATCCTTGAGGTAGAGATTATCCGTCGTCTTCCCTGCCACATTGCTATTTACTTCCTCCGCTTCGTTCTCGATGCGGCTCTGCCAGCGGTTCAGGTAATCGTGAAAATTCAGCTCTACTTTGGCATGGCTGTTGAAGTAGGTGGCGTTGCAGTCGGCCACCGGCACTGGACAGTCGCCAATACGTCTTCTGAGGTAGTCAAAATTGATGTGAGCGCCGGCCAAGGCACTGTTCGTAATCCCATTTGCATTGGCATTGTCGTCCCCGTAGCTGTTGCTGGTCCATTGCTGACATTCCCAGTTGGTGGACACATCCGTAATGACGACGGGCCAATTCTGGTGCATGTATTTCCAGTAGAACTCATTGTAGCTTAGTTCACTCGCTCCACGGCGATGGACATTGTCTGGAGTCGCCGGGAACAGCTCCTTGTCATCTCGGGGAGGCGATTGCAGGCCCAGTAGCTCGGCGCCCGCCCTCCTCTCTGCGGCCATACGATGTGGCAATGGAGTTCGATCCTCAAGGGGGCGGCACACATGCACTGGCTGTTTTTTCTTAACTTAATATTTAATTTAATAATAACATACCGTCTGACAGTGTGACCGCGGATTTATCGTTAAAATATACCGTATGACCCACAGAAATATACCGTCTCATTTTAAAAATATACCGTAAATATACTGACGAATTCAATTTTTACATATTCCTCGTTTTTGATATTCCGTCGAATATTATTAGCTAGACAGACCTCTCAGCCCAGCCCACATAATTTTATCCGATTGACAAACCATTTTTCTTCAAAATAATATAGTGATCGATCAAAATATACCACTATATATACCGATGTACAGTAAATGGTCAACCTGGCATGAATTTTTGGTAGAATATAAGTCGGTGTGACCGCATTTTCGTGGATGTATCGATTCAGCAGCTGATTGCTATCGATTGCGTACGAGAAAATACCGATGTTCGGCTCACGCAATATGCGATGTATTTTCATGCCAGTGCGCGCCAACATTTAAAAATTGGAAATTAAACAAACTGGTTGTCATTTTTCTTTAATTGTTTTATATTACTGAATTTCAGTTGCCCTTTGAGTTTTATTTTCTAAACATTTTACCATTTTCAAGTTTTTAACTACAATTTGGTTTTACATATGCGTGTCTGTGTGTATTCCGGATACCAAAACCAAAAATATCCAAAGAAAAAGTGGATTAATCGTTTTGGAATTGAGATTGGAGAATTGAGATTCTGTAATATATATATGCGTGTATATGCATGTTTGTGTATGTTACTCCGGTTGAATATCTAGGCGTATTCATATATGTATAAACTTTACAGATATTTATTTAGCAGCCACGCCTTGCAGGCGCGACCCGCGACCTATGAACTAACAACTGTCTCCGCGTCAGAATCTGATCCGATACAATACTCGTATTTAGCTTAAATGGTTTTTTGCTAGAAAACTATATAATAATCATACAAATGAGAGCATAGGTAAAAATGCTATTTACACATACAAAATCGTACAAAAACGTAACAATAGATCTTTATGTATATATTTATATAGATTTGCATTAGTTATTATTCTTCGGTTACGGTTTAGAAAAATGCACAATTATTGGGGGTTTTTCCACTTGCAATAATTCGGTTTGTGTATGTATAATTTGTTTACTTAGGCTAGGAGCATTTCACTAGATTTTCGTTCTTTCATGTGGTTTTTCTTTAGAAGGTACAGAGAGACTGACAAACTGACGACAGAGCGATGTGTTCTTCGGGGGAAAATTATGGAGAAATCGTGACTTCCATTGTGTACATATATTAATCCTATATTCTATATGTAATCTATGTACATTTTTCTGTGCGGTAGGCAGTGCCACGCCCACACTTACACACTTAAAAACTAATTTAGTATTTATTACGCTATTCATTCTCCAGTTTGAGCCCCGTCCGACTGCAGCAACTGCTTAAAAATTTAACTAAATATTTAATTTATGTCCCGCCTGAAGCCTGGGACTTAAGTACTATATTTAAGGTTCTGTTTACATATTTGAATACAATATTTTATATTATTTTATTCATTTAAGTGTATGCTTTCCCACTAGCAAATATTTGCATTGAATTTGAATGCAAAAAATCATTTACTTTAAATATTTTTATAATCTTTTTCTTTTGTTGTTTTCGTTTTATTCGTTTATTTATTACATACTTTGATATGTAGTTTTCGTGTAAATTATTCGGATAATGGAAATATCTGGGGGCTAAATGAGAAATGGGTTTATTTGTTGGTCCAGCTTGGAGTTTTTTGAAACAAAGTTATATTATTTCTGGATAAAAAATAAAGCAAAATTTACGGGATAAATATGAGGGTTTTGTGTGTAGCTTATAATATATTTTATTTATTTTTTTTTGGCAGTCTGTAGATTGTCACCAAAATCAAAAGAAATTCGCTTCGTTTACACAGGGAGGGGGAAAGAGGAAAAATATTTCTTCTGCCTGATATTCAGGCATATAAATATGGCTTATATATCTATTAACTATGTATTTAAAGCTTATACGAATCTTATGTGTATCTAGACTGTGAGTATGCTAAATTTTGTATCCTCTATACATAGAAATCCAAAGTTGCTGCAGCAAAAGCAGAACTTTATTCATTCGTTGCCTGACGCCGGGTCGGGTGGATCTCTGGTACAACCTCTGATTGCTTGGGGCCGGTGTTCGATTAGCTGGAGGTACAGTTGTACGGATCGTCGGTGCGGAAGTTGGGGTGATCCTCGTACGGCTTGACTCCGGCAGTCTTTTTGTCGTCCCTCAGCTTCTCCACCTGCTGCATGACCCGCAGAAAGTTACCGCCCGCCAACTTTGTCAACTCATCCATCGTCCAGCCGCCACCCAGAAGCTCCGCAAAGAGGGTCGGATACGAGGAGACATCCTCCAGGCCTTTGGGTGTGCTAAAACAAGATAAAAGATCGATTAGTCCGAGCTCTGGATTTCCTATCACCCCACAAACACATAAAACACATATATTTCAAAACTTTCTGCACAATTTATTTCAATATTCGTTAAACCATAAACAATATATGACACACAAAAATAAATTGAATAAACAAGCCAAGGCACAACAAAGTGAGAATCGAATGGACAGCACTCTCTATGGGTAATAAAGCAGCATTCAAGTCAAGTCACATTCACATTCAGAGAAACAAATAAATAATGAACCAACACAACACAACACAACCCACAAAGGAAAATAAATAATAAATATACATACTCGTATATGTATGTACATTCTGAAGGCCCAGGCCAGGCCGGACGCTCAAGTGCTCGGTAATCATATTTTATGAACAGGCATTTATACAAATAAATAATAATTTACTTTTATATGCAGGCGTTTAGGCCAAACACGATTTAAATGACACGAGCCGGAGCATTCCTCTGTGTGGAGCACAAAGGAGCACAAATGTAAATAGGGTGATGCATCTTCGATTGATTTTTATGGATGTTAGCTAAATTATTTCTAGTCCGAATCGATCATCGCAAAGTTTAAGGCAGCGGGTGGGGAAGCGGCTATACTTTTACACATGTAATGCATCGGGTATCTTTTATCGAACAAAGGTTCCTTGAGACCAGCAGAATAGCACACCAAAAACACTATAAATGTGCCCCACATTCTGCATCACCCTGTATTGGTTTGTATAAAATATTTCAAGCATTCTTCAAAAATAAAACCATAACAACAGCAGAACACAAAACAATTTATGTTCTATTTCCTCTTGGATTGTTCTGGGGGGTGGTGGCTCTTGGCTTTTGGCCATTTTGGAAATTTCACTCAATTCGAATGTTTGAGTGCTCGGCCAAATTGTTTTTGTATGGCCGGGCGTTGTCGTTGTGCCTGCTGCTGGTGCGTGTTGCCAAATTAATAGCACTCATTTGTGGCTTTTGCGGGCAGAAAACTTAAAATTCAATTCACAATATTTATACACAATAATCAGTAAAAGTAATGGCAATTTAATTAAAAAAAACGAAGCTCGTGGAAAAACTACTACAGGGGAATGTAAAAACATGGACAGGGTGTCACATGCTCAATGAAGCTTTAAGGTGTATATTTATTTGGGTATACCCCCAGGATCTCTCTCTCCCTCTCTCTCTCTCTGTGTCTGTCTGTGTAGAGGTGTACGTATGTGGTTTGACACGAACCGGAAACAAGACCATTTGACATTTAGTAATTTCATAGAATTTTAGTTATTTATTATGTCGTGTTCATGTTTGTTCCGTTTCTGGGAGGGGGCCTGGGTATCTCGGCAATTGACTCATAAATATTCATTTACGCAATTTCAGTTTTCTTGTTTTTTCTACCCAATTTGTGCGGTCGCGTTGCCCCGAAAACCAAAACAAAATGAAGTTCATTTCACTGGAAATTGATTTACACGAAATATTTTTTGCCCATTTGCCATTTGTTGTTTTGGGGTTGAATTTCCCCTCTGCAATATGCACTACAACAAATTGTAGGCTGCTTACAACATTGTGGGCCATCATATACTCGAAATATATAATTCAGAATTCACGCAGAGAGAAAGAGAGAGAGAGAGGAAGGGAGAGGGGACACGTTGGTAGGCTTATCAAAATTTTTGGCCAGAATATTTTGTTTGTTTTCTACATTGTGTCCCACGATGCAATGAAATGGAAATCTATGCAAATGCACTTTCGCAGCAACACGAGGAATAATTACAATGATAATGAAGAGCAATGATGTGGCTGATGATGTTCATGGGGAGCCTGAACCACAAACTGGGTCATATGCTGGTTCATTGGGGACTTAAAGTTTTTGTATTTTTGGGTAAAAATATCGAGGAGTGTTGGTTTGTTTTCAATCTAGAAATCCTGTTTCGGGGGTTCTAGGAATGTTATGTCTCAAAATAGATACATATCCGCACAATACAGATGGCCGTGGCAATCATTATACATTCATTCCCGTAGGCAATTCTGCTGCCAATGAAGTCGTCCATTAAGAGAGGGCTTTAATGAGCGATGATTCCCTGCTTACAATTTGGTATTACCGGATTCTTTTGTTCTCAACTCGACTCTGTTTTAAGCGGTTTATGGCTGGTCCATAGGTTCAATCCGTTTACTGGTAATCTTGTATCGCCTGCCACTCATTATCCGGAGGGAGCTCATTAAATTATCTTAAAACTCGCAAACAGATTGCACAGGCTGCTCTGTTGGCTGGCCTCTCGGCGGCCAGAAAAGCGGAAAAGCGAAAAAGGAAAAGTGCCCATAATGAGCGGTAAAATAATAACGGTCTATCCACATCCATCTCCCATCCCATCCCGTCCCCTTGCCCCATGCCCCACCGCTGGCAATATGCCAATGTTAAGTCCGAGGACTTAAATATAATCAATTAATAACTTAAAAACACACACACACAAAAAAATCAAGAGAACAAAAGAGTAAAGAAGGAAAGAACCGAAGAGCGTGAAAGCACCTGCAGGACCACACAGTCCGTCCACATGAGAGAGGAGGGAGCTATGTGAAAATGTGAATTTAAGTGAAATAAATGACTTTTACTTACTAATTAATGCCGTCGTAGCCGGCGCCGAGGCCAACGTGATCGATGCCAGCGACGCGCTTAATGTGATTAATATGCGCTGTGTGCCAAAGCGGGAGTCCAGTGCGAGAGTCCAGCGCAGAAGGAACCGATATCCGCGGTTGGTCGGGGCGGGGCGGGGCGGGGCGGGGCGGCGGGGTTGCCATTTGTTGTTAAGTTCATTAAGGGGTCCATTGTTGAGAGAGAGCATCAGAGGGGCATCATCATAAGTCAGCGTTATTAAAATATTCGCGAATTTGAAATGTGTCCACGGGCCAGCCAAAAACAAAGGGCCAATGACATGAAAAGATAAAGAAAAAGGGCGAGAGAGAGGGTGAGGGGGAGGGTGAATATTAGACAGGTTCATTATAATACTTATTCAAGAAGTAAAAGAGAAAGGATATGTTCTCTGAGGTCGAAGCATTAGACACCCTGGCGATGCCAGAGACTCGGACCCAGAGACCCATGTCGAGCATGTTTTTGGGCGATGGATTCTTCGGTCCGAAAAGCAAGTATTTTGTGGGCCATTTAGGGAGGCCGAGTGGGAAGATCAACCATCAAAACCAATGTTCTTGGGCAAACGATAATACCCTTTGTAAGAGTATATAAAAATATATACATGGAAAGCAGAAGAATAGAGGTAGCAAGACAACGGAACAGGAAGTGATTACGGGACCCATTTTGATGGCCCGTCAAAGGCAATGGCAGAAAAATCAGAATCAGCAAGAGCACCGAGCACAGAGACATAAGAAACAGATGGCAATAATGGACTAGCTGAAACAATAGACTGACAATCAGGACCCGCCAAAGACAATGAAGACCGCCACGAGGGCAGCACTGGGGCTCTGATTGATTTCGCACCGATAACTCATGAAAGGGAACTGGAGATGGCGGATAGATATGCAGTTAGGGTTAAGTACTTCCGATAACTTACCGACTGCATCGTGCACGGTCGAGTTGTCGCTGCAGGAGAGGAATTTCGAATAGAAATTGACCATCACGAGGCCCCCGTTCTTGGCGAGCGACTGCAGGATGTCGTCCTGGACGTTGCGGCTCGTGTTGCACAGCTCGTAGGCGGAGGAGTGTGAGAATATCACAGGGGCCTCGCTCACCTCCAGGGCGTCGCGCATAGTGCCCTTCGAGACGTGCGATAGGTCGACCATCATGCCCAGGCGATTCATTTCGCGGATGATTGTCTGAAACGATCACAAGAAGAGGGGAAATTTCGCATGAGAGAAATGTGGCTCATTACTTAGTTGCTAATTAGTGCCAAGGCTCCACCTTAGAGGTGCTTAGGCTTAGGCAGTGCCCAAATGCCGAAAGATACTCGTATAAAACCCTAAGCCGCATGTCATAAAACATAAGTAATGGCCGCAGGCCAAAAGACATCTAAAAACAGTTTCATTATGCATGAGATTTTATTTAACCTTTGACATCCCCCCAAAAGTAAATTGATATTGCTGTGCTTGTATGCGGTGCATGTGTGTATGTGTGTATGTGTCTTTTGTGTAATTTATATTTATGCGCGGATTTATGGGGTTTCGCTGAGAGTATCTATGTGTTCCACTTCACATGAGTGAGTGTGCGTGTGTGTGTCTGTGGGAGGGGGAAGGTTTTGCTACATAATTACTAATCTGATGCAAGTCGCCTCCTCCTCCTCCTGCCATTTAGTCCGGACTCCGTAGAGCAGCCACACAAATTATGTGGGCTAAATTTATTACACTGAAAGACATTAAATTAGGGAATTGTGATTAAACACTCGCGCAAAGGAAACATTTGCCCGAGGAAAGTCTGTCTTTTTTGTGGAGGGATTCGATTTTAAATGTCGGAGATCAGATCACTATGAAAACCATTGCCTACTCTGTGGCGTTTATCGAAATGATTCGAATGAAAAGCCATGGCGGAATTTGCTTTCTTTGAAGCATTCACGGCGGAGAGTCCCTTCTTTCTTTTGGGGGCTAATGTCAACGAAAATGTACAGTGTATTTTATGTCCGATGCCTTCTCGCAGATAATTTTTAATTGCAGGCATATACCAGTACACAACAAGGACAATAAGTGCGTACATTCATACCCATAACAGGATACATTAATGTGTAGATATCGTACATGTATATATACGTAGTGCGAGTATATAGTACATATAAGAACCGTATTGTCATGTCAACGGAGGCGGTGGCAGTGGCGGCATTTCGGTTCCTCTCCAAACTCGAAATTAGCCAACAATTTGTTGTTTCTGTTTCACAGTGTGTGAGTGTGTGTGTGTGTGTGTGTTCAATTGGGCGGAGTATGTACTTAATGGGCGTGGCATTAAAGGCTAGCGTAAACATGCACGGAGAAGGCTCAACTAATTGCAACTCCATACGTGAGTGTGTGTGTGTATGTGTGTATACAGAAGTGTAGGCGTGTGTGTGTGTTGAGTGGAGAAAATGTGTATTAAATGCTTATTGTCGCTTAATTACGTACCCAAAATGGCAAATAGAAAAGGGATAAGGGATAAGGGAGGTGGATAACAGAGGATAAGGGGGCGGTACCGATCGAAGTACTGCCAGGGCAGGGCAGGGCAGGGCGGGGCATGCCATTAAATCTTAATTAACGGTGCATAGACACATAGAGACACTCATGCAAATTAGTTTTATGTGCACGGTGCTCATTGAACTGTTTAGCAGATGTCACTGGAGGGATTTCAGTAAATTAAAATTACCCGAAATTCATTGGGTGATTAATTACTCGGCATGCGATACAAATAGTTGCAGATCCAAATAATTTGTCCACATAATTACGAGTATATTGATATTTATGCAGGACACTCGCAGAAAAAGGGGCACCAATGGAAGGATGCCAAAGAATAAACGGCCACCAAGTGTACTCCCATTATTCTCAGTGCATCGGGAACAAATAATCCCCTCTGCTGAATTCGTAAAATATAAACAATTATAATCAATTCAATTGAATATGTTTACATGCTGGATTTTTAATTTTTCTGAAACGCATTTAATTGCCATTTTAATTGTGTTCTTTCAGGGTTTCATTTTTTTTATTTTTCCGCTGACGCTTGAACTTTGGGCGGAAGGTGGGCGGAAGGCCTCTGCCCGCAATTTTTCAAACACAAATTGGTATGATATTTGTGGGCAAACATTTTCCTTTTCATGCCAGATCTGGACATCGAGTAGCGGGGTCCTGTAAAGCGGACAATCGGACAAAAGGAGCGCCGTAGGCTGTGGGCTGTGGGAAATTGAACAATGACAATCAGGGATATTTTCTTTTTGGGTGACAGCAGAAAAATTGCAATGAAAACTTTTCACATTTGCTCATTAATGTCAGGCAAGGCCTCAGGCATAGAGTTATTCGCTCGCTTTTCATTCGGATATACATGTATATTGATGGGCCTGTCCTGGCCTGCCCCTCGAACAATGCTCATAGTTTGACTGACTGACAGAAGCACAAATTGCGGGTTCGCAGGAGGATCTTTCTCTCTCTCTCTCACTCTCTCTCTCTGCTTTTATTCCTTTAAATAATTCCACGCAGATTAGCCGCCGGGCTTTGTGGAATTTGTATATCTAAAATTTTTGTACGTTTTTGGCAACCGGCTATTAAATTGAAATTGTTTTACGTTCAGCTAAAAATTTGTTGCCAAAAATATTTAATATGCAATTTGTGAATTGGGGAAACGAACGAATTTCCAGAGATTTGCAGCTGCAGTGGCAATTAGTTTAAGCCAAACACAAAAACAGCAAAAACATCAGGCAGCAAAGCCGCATTTAAATTGAATTTATTTGCAAATTAATTTAAAATTTTGTCCAAATCTGCGCCAGAGCTCAGACCCAACCGCCCAAAAAATCGCACAGAAAAATGATAAAAGACAAACCGAAACTCTGCTCCAGCGTGAATTGTAAATAAATAAACTCGGAGCGAAATCCGCAGCAAGTTGGCAGCCCTTTGCACAAATACATGTACATCTACTCGCACTCGTGTGTGTGTGTGTGTGTGTGGCATTAGGGGGCACAATGGAAAAACTCATTAAAAGTTTAAATTGAAATCAAAATAAAATGCATATTCCTACGAGTCCTCCCTCAAGGAAGAGTGCAGTTTGATATCGGTTAGGAGCAAGGATCTCCCCACTCCCCACTCCCTTTGCACGTTTTTTTTCAATCTGCATAATTCCGATGGGAGCACCAGCCTCTCGGTTCTGCTGACCCAGTTATCAATTATCAATTATCGGCTAGGCCAGGACAAACAAAAGAAAACACATTCCCAATCCAATTTGTAATTCCATTACTGACCCACTCTCAGCCACTAATAACATTTGATTTATATGTGTTTGGCGAATGCGTAAATGCGAATGCATTCAGGGCAAATAGAGCCAGAGCCAGAGCCATCCCTAGTATCCCTAGAAAGGAGCAGCAGCAGGAGGAGGCGTGCCTGTGGCAGTGTTAGTGGCGGTGGGCAACCGCCATCTTCTTGGGTTCTCGAGAGGTTGTTTAAATATTTGAAAATCCATTAAGCATATTGACAATGCCGCTGTGTCTGTCCGTCTGTCTGGCTGACTGTCTATCCATCTGTATTGGTATTGGTATTGGTATTGGTTTGCTTGGGCATGGCTGTGTCTGGGACTCGTATTTGAATATGGCCGCCTTTGGGGCTTCCTCCTCCGCAGTTTTTTCCCCCTTTAGAGCGCTTCTTTTCCTTCGCCCCTGCTGAATGGATCATTAGTGCAGCTAATGGCCCAGACAATAAATGGCGGGACCACGCCTACAATTTGAATTTGAATATGAATTGAAATGGCAGGGAGTCGAAGTCGCAGTCGATGCCGAAGTCAAAGTGGCAGTGGAAGCAGGGGGAGGAGGAGCAGCAGGAGGGAATATATATGGGTGGTATTCGAGGGATAACCACGAACAGACGCCGCTGGCATTTCCGGCCAAGAAGGCGGCGCCAGGGCCAAGACATAAAACGGATTTATTAGGTCATTGCTGGTTTCGGCCCAAGTGGGAGGCAGAAAGCCAGAACGGCAGCCAGAGGAAAACCCCGATACAGGGCACTGGCTGAAGGAAATGAAGTGAAGACATGCGGAGGAGCAAGCAAATTTTGGGGCGTAGAGTCTCATTATTTTGGCTAATAATTTTTGCAAAATGCCAAACAACTTTGTGCTGACACTGAAAATGTTATTTTGTAAATTGAAAATGGAAAAACAACAAGAATTGATGTATGAAAATGGCCAAAGGGGGGTTTGCTTTCATTTCGGTGTCAATGGACCCGAAAATGAGGCAAGGACAAAAATTTATTGGCCCAACCATAAAGTTTCATTAAATGGAACGAAATTTGAAAGATGAAACCATTTTTAAATACTCGTAACTTGCCTAAATAAAGTACATCTCAAAGGAGCTCTAGAGGCCACAAAAAGGGACCCTTTCGCATTCCGTGTCTTGCAATTGTGATGCCCGGCGGGGGCCTGTGGCCATGATTACCAATCAAATGCCAACTGAAACCAAGCAAACTATTTACCCAAAGCTCAATTGCAGAGCACACACAGCGAGGAGTTCGCTTCGGGGTACTTAAACCCCTACTTATAAGCCCTGCTCAGGCTCAGCCTCGGTCCCGGTCTCGGTCTCTCTCTTGTTACTTCATTTTCCCCGAGCTTTTTCCTCTTGCCACGCCTGAAATAGCAGAAAAATGGTTGCCTCTTTCATCAGTTGCGTGGCTCGCATTACTCGACGTCTGTCCGTCCGTCAGTCTGTCAGTCTGCCAGTCGTCTGTCAGTCTTTCAGTCCTTCCGTCTGAGTCTATAATTGAGGCGCTTACTTAAAGGGAAACCGGAGCGGAGGAGCGCCAGGAGTTAGCAATCAAAGACAGAAAAATGGGAGATAGAGTGGGAGAAGTGCAACTGAAATAACAGCCCGGGGACACTGCCTGGCACAAGGTGCATACAGCATACAGCAGCGTGCAACGTGCAACGTGCAACAGCAGCATGCTTCAGCAGCCAAAGATAAGCATCCCAGAAGCAGAAGCAGAAACAAAATGAGATATACGAGAGATGCGATGAACTAAAGCAAACACAAACCAGTGAAAATATGCCACGAAGTAGCAGCAGCAGCAGCATTCGAGGCAAGAGGCATGAGGCAGTGGCAGTGGCAGGAGTGTAATGAAAATGTTGCAATAAATTGCTTGGCAACCAAGGTAGAAATTAATTGGATAAATAT